GGTCAGAGACGAAGAAATTTCGCAGAAGCGGAGTGGACCGATAGAGGACGAGGTCCTGAACCGGAACCGCATGTCGCTGAATCGCCAGTGGGACCCACTCCTAAATGCCAACTCATTCCACTATCATGCGCCTCGGTGTACAACCGCCTCCATTACTATCTTATCGTCGCATTCGTTTACTTTTATCCAATTTGTTAGTATTTTCAGGGAAAAATATATTATGGCACACGTATCTGATATGATCGTTTAACATCTCAACAACCTTGTTTTCTTTTTCTTTTATTTTTTTCGCGTGGACATGTCATTCCTAGTTTTCTTTTTGCGAGAATTTAGCGTACGGAAACTGTGTAGAAGTACTAACTTGGTAAATTTGGTAGAAAAATGTACATTTATTATATCCTTCTTTATGATGCATTTTTTATGTACAAATGCTTATTAACTGATGTATAAACAAATGTGTAAATGTTTATCAAGATATGAAAAAGTGTCAACATAAACTCAAAAATATATTAAAACATGAACAAAAATATATGTGGAATAGAAGACCATGGTCAGAAGAAGAAGTTGAAAGATCCTCACAATGCTCCTTATACCTAACTAAGGACTTCACACCAAGATGATTCTATGTAAAATAACCTCTAATACATGGCAATGTGTGATGTAGCTAAAAGGTACAAAAAAAGTTTACATCCCATCTAGAGAAAAGAGTTGTCTCAAAATAAACTCAACCTCCCAATAGTTCTTACATAGATATAAATTGAATTATCAAATACATAGTCTAAATTGAATGAAGTAAGATTTACAAAGGTTATCTAAGCACGCACTTTCATTTCTTCTAAATGATTATATAAATATATCTTTACTTTAAACTTACTATAATATTATAAAAACATCTTAATGTAAAATCTTCATAATTGTTCAATTATTTGTACGGTAAAATATAATTTGTACAATTCAAATAATTTTCAATATTTAAAAAAACCAATTATTATTTTTAAATTCAATAAAAAAGTATATTAAAAGAAGAAAAACAGTTCATATTCCACATTCACTATTTTATGATTTTCGTCGTTGCTAGTTTTTCACATTTTCATTCTTATTAATAATTATTTCTTTAAAATTTCAATCAGGTTTGAAAAAAAAATATATCGGAAGGTGATTAATACAAAAAATAAAAAGAAAGAAAGCTTTTTTTTAGTAAAAAAAACAATAGAAAAATATGTCAAATTTTCTATGTAAATATATATATTATTACTATTTTTATGTTTATAATTTTTAAAAATAATATATATATATATATATACTTTATTATTATTTTTATAAAATGTAATAAATATAAAAGTATTATATAATCAAATAAATAATTAAATATATTTTTTATTTAATATTATTTTATTAATATAAATTCAAAATTTTAAAAAATATTTTTAGAATGAAAAATATTGTATAATTATATATTAAAGTTTTAGAATGAAAAATATTGTATAATTTAGGCATGGCAGCGGGCGGGCGGGGACGGGTTTTGCCTCCCCGTCCCCGCCCCGACTTTTTAACCATCCCAGTCCCCGTCCCGCCTCGATCCCATGGGATTAGGAATTAAGTCCCCATCCCAGTCCCCGCGGGTTTCGGTTCCCGCCCTCGCCCGTCCCCAATTTATATTATTTTTAAAAAGATAATTATATTTATAATAAATTAATTTTACTATGTATTTTTATATATAAATAAATATTTATAATTTATAGTTATTATTAATTAAATATACATTTTAATTTATTATATTTATATTAAAATATATATGTAAAAGAAATATTTAATTATTTTTTATTTATATATATATATAATATTTATAACATTATTATTATTATTATTATTATTATTATTATTATTATTATAACATTGTATTCAAATATTTGAATATTTATAACATTATTATTATAATACTTGTATTCAAATATTTAATTATACATATAAGTTAATTCATTTTTAAGTTGTCAATATATAGTTTATAAGAAAATATTTAATAAGTTAATTCTTATTTAATTAGTTTGAAGTAATAAAAGTTTAAATTATTAATTTCTTTTAATCCTTTAAAATGCAATTATTTTATTAAGATAAAATTTGATATATGATAAATAAGCATAATAAGATAAAAAAATATGGCATAATAAATATAAATTATAAATAAACTAATATTAGTTACTACTAAGATTGATGTAAAATATTTAGAAAAAGATAAAGAAAAAAGATTAACTTTGTGTTCATCAAATTGGTTGAAAAGATTGAAAAAAAAAACAAATTGATGGGAGAGACTAAGAAAATGTGAAAAAGCTGAAAGATAAGGGAGAGAATAATATAATAAATTAATTGATATAAAAGATTGAGAAAGATAAAAAAAATTAAAAAATGGGTAGAAGAAAAATAAAAGTTGGTGAAATATAAAAAAATAACCTTATATGTAATAGAAAAAGAAAATGAAATACTTTTAAAATATTAATATTTTAAAATTTAAATTTAAATATAAAGTCGGGGCGGGGACGGGGCGGGGTCGGGGTGGGGATTGCATTACCCATCCCGCCCGCCTCGACTTTTAAAGCGGGAAAACCCGAGCCCGACCCGCCCGGTCAACTCGGGGTTTCACGTCAAGCTCGGGCGGGGACGGGTCGGTCCTCACGAGTACGGGTTTAATTGTCATCCCTAGTATAATTATATATTCAAGTTTATATTATTAAATAAAAAACATTAATTTAAAAACTATTTTATCAATAATAAATAATTTTATAAATAATTTTATAATTTAATAAATATTTAATTTTAATTAAATTATTTGTATTTAAAAAATAAGCTTTTTTATTTAAATAACAATAATATTTTAATATAATTTAAATTTTTTTTGTTTCCTTATTATAATTAAATATATATAAATAATACTTTAAATTTTATCACTTGTACAACGCCTCACATTGTTATCCTCTAGAAATTCAACGATGCTTTTTAACAAATAAATATTTTATTTTATTTAATAAAAAATACTCATATATTAGTACTATATATATGGATAATAAACAATAAATCATTAACTCAATATTATCATTCTGTTCAAATTTACATAACATTCTTCTTCACAGTCTTAGAAATACATATATAGAGATAGATAACACCAAAAAGTAAAATTTACTGAAATATTTATTTTTAAATTAATCAATACTTTTTTTTATATTAGTCATTATTTTAGTTATATAAACGTGTTGGTTTTGATTCACATTTCGGTCTTAATCTCAACCTTAAAAAAATATATTATTATGATAATAAATTTACTCCCAAGTTTTGTCTAGTATTTTAAATATCATATTATATATATATATATATATATATATATATATATATATATATATATATATATATGGACTGAAAACGTTTCTCACAAAATTAAAATTACTACTAGAAGAATTAAATTTATAATAATTAAAATATTTAATAAAAATAAGATAAATAATATATTAAAGATAACAAAATTAATTACGAAAAATCTCTTTTATATATTTTATTATAAATATACTAAATTAAGTATGAAACACAATCAAATTCAATGAAACAAACTCCATAATACACTATAGAAATAAGACTTGTTAAAGTTAAAAATTACATGTTTTATCATCTAAACCAAATCCCGTATTAAACAAAATTACTTGAATTACAGAAATTGTTCAGTGCACATGATGATTTATTTGACCAGAATAAGAAAGGTAGTCGTTGCATTTAAGAATCCACACTTTGTATTATTATTATTTGATTCTGTAGATATGTAGCTTACATAATTTATTTTTAGTCTATTTGATAGTTATCAATTAATAGTTGCAAATGCTTAATTATTTAACATTTAACATACATTAGTACTAATATGTTTATTTAAGATAATAATAAATTTAACTATTAAATTATGAAAAAATAATAAAGAATCTCTTATTTTAAAAATAAGAAATTACATATATATATATATATATATATATATATATAGATATATATATATATATATATATGATGAGAATATAATAAATTATGTATTTGAAAATAATTTTTTTCCAAATTTCCTCTCTCTTATCTCTTAAAAAAATAATTAGATAATTTTGTAATTATATAATTATATTATTTTAATTTAATTATTGATTATTTTTAAAATTATATATTTTTTTATTTCCCTATGCTCCCTTTTTCTAATGAATAATGTGTAAATTTGATTTTAAAAAAATATTAGTTATTGAATATTAATAAATAAATAATCCTTAAAAATTACTTCATCCTTTATTTTTCATTTCAAATAAATCTTTATATATTATGATTAGAATGCAATTTAAATATTAATATATGATCTAAATTTTACTTTATCACAACTTAAAAAAAACATTTCAATAATAATATATAGGAAATTATTTGAAATAAAAAACGATTATGAGAAACTAAATTTATTTTTGAAAAAAATCATTTTAACTTCTTTAAATTTTTAAGATTAAATTGAAAGTTTTATGGAGTTCAAATGACTAAATGTACTATTTCATCAATTTGTAATGCCAATTCATAATCACCAAATTAAAATGTAGTAAATATGTAGACAGTAAATTGAAAATATGTATTATATAAAGACTAATTTGACAATGTTTAATGTTTGAAAATTTAGAAATTAGAACTACAAGATTATTTTTTGTATAACTATAAACACTAAAGTAAATTATAAATTAAACCTTTGAAGTTCGATTTGCAAAATGATTAAGCGAGTTCAAGTGAAATAGAAAAACCCCAGTGGTTGAATCGCTATCGGGATACGCAAAAAGGTAAAATCCAGTGAGCAAAAGCCAAACCTTTGTTTAGCGGGAAGCGACGGCGTTTAGTTAAGGAGAAAGAAGGTAAGAACCCGTTATTCTTCCAGTGCTCCGACGACAGTAGATAGACACCGGTGTCAGCTGCGTTCCGGTTTCGTGCTAAACGACAGCGACGCATTCATCATAATGCGCGTTCTTACCGCCGCCACCTTTCTCAAATCACTCCACAGCCTCCACTTTTTCAGACTCACCTCTTCTCTCCCCCTTCTTCTCGACGGTAAGCTAAACATCTCTTATAATTTTGCCATTTTTCATTCTTCAACTCCATAGTTACAATTACAAAAACAAATATCAATTAGCGTCTATTTATGCCCAGAAACACAGCACTTTAAAACACCACCACACAGCGCCACCTATTCGCCAGATAATGATCACGTTGGAAAGTCAACGCTGGCAATGGACCTCGCCTCTCTACTTGAGGAACCGAAGCCGAAACCGAAACCCAAGAGTCGGATGGAGCTGAAGCGGTTTCTGGAGCTCCGAATAAAAAAACGGGTCAAGGAGCAACACGCCAATGGCAAGTTCCATGACCTAATGAAAACCGTGATTTCCAACGCAGAAACCCTTCTCGATGCTTACGACTGCATCAGGATCAACTCCAACACCCTCGACGCGGATTCGAGTTCGAGCCACGACGTTTCCTTTTTGGATGATCTAGCTGAAGAGCTCGGGAAAGGGGAATTCAATGTGTGTGCAAATACGTCGTCGTTCTCGACGAGGAGAGGTTCTGTGAGCAAAGAGATATTGGTGCTGCCCAATTTGAGGCTGAAGGTTGTGCAAGAAGCGATGAGGATTGCTTTGGAAGTTGTTTACAAACCACATTTCTCAAAGATTTCGCACGGCTGCCGGAGCGGGAGGGGCCGTGCGGCCGCATTGAAGTACGTGTGCAAGGGTGTTTTGAGTCCTGATTGGTGGTTCACAATGCTTGTGGTTAAGAAATTGGATGCTGCTGTGTTGGAAAAGCTGATTTCCACAATGGAGGCGAAGATAGAGGATCCAAGTTTATATGGTTTCATTCGGAGCATGTTTGATGCTCGAGTGTTGAATATCGAGTTTGGGGGTTTTCCTAAGGGACATGGTCTCCCACAGGAAGGGATTTTGTCCCCTATTCTGATGAATATTTACCTTGACCTCTTTGACAGTGAATTTTGTAGGCTGGCGATGAAATATGAAGGCATATGCGGTGGAGGGAGAAAGGAGGGAGACAGGTCTGGCTCCGTGTTGCGCGATTGGTTCAGGAGACAGTTGGATGGTGATGATATTAGGAAGAGTTCTGGTGTGAAAGTTTACTCTTGTCGCTTTATGGATGAAATGTTTTTCGCGGTTTCTGGTTCAAGGGATGCTGCTGTTAATTTTATGTCTGAGGTCCAGAGTTATTTGAGGAGTTCTTTGCTGTTGGATGTGGGTGATCAAACTGATGTATTGCCCTGTGATGGGTCTCATGGTATCCGGTTTTTGGGAACTTTGGTGAGAAGAACTATTAGGGAGAGTCCTGCTGTAAAAGCTGTTCACAAGTTGAAGGAAAAAGTGGAGTTATTCACTTTGCAAAAGGTGGAGGCATGGAATTATGGGACGGTTAGAATCGGGAAGAAATGGTTGGGTCATGGTTTGAAGAAAGTTAAGGAATCAGAAATCAAGCATTTAGCTGATAGTAGCTCCCTCTTGAACAAGGTTTCCTGTTTCCGCAAGTCTGGAATGGAAACCGACCATTGGTATAAGCACTTATTGAAGATATGGATGCAAGATGTTCAGGCAAAAAATGTCAATAGTGAAGAAAGTATCTTATCTAAGTGTGTTGCAGAGCCAGCTCTCCCTCACGAGCTAAAAGATTCCTTTTATGAATTTACTAAGCAGGCAGAGCAGTATATATCTGCTGAGGCAGATTCTATTCTCAAGCTTTTGCCAAATAATAGCATCTCAACAGAACGTCCTATGGCAAAAACTGAGATTATTGCTCCTATCAATTCCATAAAATTGCGTCTCCTGAGATATGGATTGACAACAGCTAGGGGTTATCCTCGTTCTGCTAATTTGCTTATCATGTTAGATACAACTGAAATTATTGACTGGTTTTCAGGGATTTCTTGCCGCTGGCTGAAATGGTATGAAAATTGTGCTAACTTTGATGAGATAAAGCTCTTGATCTCAGATCATGTTAGGAAATCATGCATTCGAACTTTAGCAGCAAAGTATCGGGTACATGAAACTGAGATAGAAAAGCGGTTTGATGAGGAACTTATTAGGATTCCATCAACACATGAAACAGAGAAGGAGATGACAAATGAAGCATTGGATGTTCAAGCTTTTGATAACGATGAGGCATTAACGTATGGAATTGCTTCTAGTGGTGTGTGTTTGTTGTCTCTGGCAAGAATTGTAACCCAGGCAAGACCATGTAATTGCTTTGTAATAGGGTGCTCGTCTGCAGCACCTAGAGTCTATACTCTACACGTAATGGAACGGCAGAAGTCTCCAAGCTGGAAGACTGGATTTTCAACTTGCATTCATCCAAGCTTAAATAAACGACGCGTAGGGCTGTGTAAGCAGCATTTGAGGGATTTGTATCTTGGTCATATATCGCTTCAGTCAATTGATTTCAGTGGATGGAAGTCATAAATTATATTTGATGATTTCTCAAGATGTTTAGATTTTAGTCCCTATTACTATAGTTGATCTACGAATGATGAAAGTACTGTTGAAAATGAGGTGAGATGAAATCCAGTACTTCCTTCTTACCAGCAGATTTTCTTAAAGGTGATTCTTGGTCCTTCACTATTGACATTTTTATTTTAACTAATCGTGCTGCACTGCATCTATGTATTTTAGAAAGCACAAAGCATGACAACAGCTATCTGGGATTGTTGGAGTCAGCTTTATAGGTTTTTACTGCCGTCCTCATCTAGATTTAATTTTTTGTAATCTTTCATATGGCAAGTGTTTTCCTTGGATGATTTTGGTTCATTTTTCAAATTATAGATGCAACACTAGCTGTCTGTCACTCATTCATTAAGTTGAGGGAATTGCCCAAGAACTGGATTTATTTATAATGTGTTTGGAAATCCCTTTAGAAGCTTCTGAATGGGAAATCCCACTTTCCAAAGCAGCAAAGGTAGATGGAAGGGAGGACATAGATCCATGTTCAGTTCAAAGCAATCGAATTCCAAACACACTTGTCATCCTATATAAGGTGAGCACTAAGTATCTTTTCATCTATTAGTTGCTGTACATTGATCGATTTCCCAGCATCAGAGCCTTTTAATAGGTATCGAAGATGTTTTAATCAATGATCATCGACTTCAATGGTTGATGCCAAAGCTAATGAATGGAAAAAGAGTAGTTGTTCTATGATATTCACTTCTGTTACAGACCCAAGAGAAAGAGAGAATAGGGTAAAAGTTTGAAGAAAGAATGTGAACAATTCTGTTGATGGTTGATTGGTCGACGAACAAAACAAGGGAGAATTCTCCCTCCAAGGGTTTCCCTTCTAACAAAAGGTTTCCTGTTTTATTACTAAGGTATTGCCTATTTATGCATTACTAACAAATCTGGTTGCAAATGCCCCATGCCCCTCTTCTACCCATCTACTATTTAAGATTGTTTGTAACAAATGTTTACTGTGATGTTTGTACTGACAACAAATGTGATCTTTTATTTAAAAAAAATCAAGGAAATAAAATAATGAGCATAATTCCTGATTTTCAGTTATAAATATTTCCCTAATTGCAGAAAATCTAATCATATCATTAAAAAAGCTAAATCCCTACTTTTAACCACCTATTCTGTTGTAAGACTACTCCATATAACAATTATTTGTGCCCCATCAAGTTCCCTTCTCTCATGATTTGTTTTCCTTTCCCTAAAATAAGGAGTCAAAAATGATTCAGGGCTTGGTTGTAATTTTATGGACTGCCGAACCCTTGACTTTTTCAAGTCATGCGTGCGTAACAATGTCCAGCCCACTGCAGTAAATAACTTTTTCCCATGATATAGTTAAGATTAATTTTTATGTTAAAGTCAATTTTTATATCTGAGTTATTGAAACGAAAGTATCTTAGTCTCGTGTCTGTCATAATATTGTTAAGATTAATTTTTATATTAAGGTCAATTTTTATATCTGAATTATTGTCTATAATTCTTTTTTATATTTCCCACATGTTTGATCGGCGATGCCGTGTTAATTTAATATTTTAAAAACTAGACAATACCTTCTTGTCACCATGAACTTGCATGTCTTTAGGCAGAACATTTGTTTTCCACTGTTATCCAAAATTCACTCACCTATATGAATTACAAAACAAGATTAACTTGATACCTGTAAAATTGCACTCCTTAGGGGCTTATCCACGTGATATGCAAGCCTCCTATGATATAACAAGTTCTTTCAATAATAATGGCACAATAGAACTAACAAGTTTTTAAAGTGAGACTAACCTATAAATTCTCAAATATAATAAGGAGCTGTGGGATAAAAATTCTCTGTACAAAACTCTTCTATAATACCGCTATTTATTTATAATAATAAAAAGGTTTTCTAAAACTGCCTAAGGGATAAGGTGAGGCTAAGTCTAAATGACTGAGTCAAACCAATTAAGTGTTTTGATAATCACTAAAATAAATGTCTGATTTTAATAACCACTTAAAATAATTTAATTAATAAAACAAAGAATTTAATCTTTTGAAATATTACAAAATATACAACAACATTATCCAGTTCAACCACAGTATAATCACAATTTAAAAAACCCAAATTGAACTGTTTGAACTGTCAAAACAAGGAGCTGGATATTTTTGTGGTTCTATCTCTGATCCTATTATTTATTGATTTTATAATTACGCTTTTAATGAGGAAAAAAGTCTCTTAACCTAAGCCAAAGGATAAAATGACATGTAAAATGGGAGGCCTAATAATTAATTAATCTTTCTGCACTTGTGGTTGTGGATAAATGAATTATGTAGGTTGGTAAAATTTGGGTCATATATATATATGATACATAATTTAAATGTGTTAGGGTCATTATTTATTAAGCTAAATAATAAAGTGATCTGACTAAATTAAAGTTTTGGCCAAAAACATATGTCATGAAAATAAAATTGTGTAGAGACCATTGAACAATTTCTAATTTGATTAGGGACCAAATTGGAAATACTAAAACTTAAGTAATTAACCTAATTCTGGTTATTTAAAGGGTCATGATTCCCTTTTGGGAGCACATAGACAGAACGTAAGTTTCATTTCCGTTCCTTTCTTTCTAACCCTATCAATAGAGAAAATTAAGAGGGAAATACATGTGTTCTTCAGATGGAAGACCATAAGATCAATATAGTGTTCTACAAAGACATCATCATTATGACTAATTTAGGTACGTTTTCACATTTAGTTTACAACATGTTTATCAGTATGGGATTACGTTTATGTTTGATCGTTAGAATCAAAATCAGGATTATTATTATTATTAATTTTTCAATAAGTGGTATCAGAGCCGCTTATACTTGATTCATGTCTGTTTAATTTTTATAAATCCTAAGTGGAGATTAATCTCCAATTTTCGTGAACCCTAAAATTTAAATTTGGGGATAACATCCCCAATCTGATTCTGCTCGCTGATGGACCCGTGGAGGAAGCTATGGATTCTTTTTCTTCGTTTTCCCTTTTGTTTCAGTTTAAGTTTCAAGTTTTACTGAGAAAGAAATAATGTTTCAAATTTCAATCTTTCTTGTATTGGGTTCTCTGTTCTCTTTGAATCTTTTGTTGTTATTTTTATTTAATTTTTTGGGTTTTGTTTTCGTTTTCTTTTCATAGTGGATATGGATGAGTTTGGAATTGGGGGTGGTGTTTGGGGAGTTCCCAACACAAAGGATCTTAGGTAACTGATGAATGTTTTCTCAAGTGTGACTGTTATTATTTTATTACATTTATCCTCTGAGAATTTTAAGGGAAGTTGATGTTAAATTTTCTGTTTAGGGTTTGAGTGATTACTGTTTAATCCCCTTTTAGGGTTTAGAGCAGTGTGTTAAAGAGACTCAGAACTATCTCTGTTTCATCCCTAGTGTGATTTTAGGGAGATGTTCATCCTTTATGTGTTAGTGGAAAATGAGGTGTTTTTCATCTTTTGATTTGTTCAAAGAAGGTGTTCATCCCTAATGAGATTCTAAGGAGGTGTTCATCTTTAGTGGAATTCTAATGTGGTGATTATCTTTTGAATTAGTTTGTAAATATTAAATATTTGGTTTTGTTATATAAATAAAATATTCAATTTTTTGGTAGTTTAATATTTTTTGTGAGCAAATTGAGTCAAGAAGTCACCAAAGTAACCTCTCTTAAATTGGATAGTTCATGAAAAATATTGAATGTTAGTGTTTGTGTATATTCATGCGAGTATTAGTCGGCCCAAAGGAAGATTAATATTTGGCCGAATTGCATACACACTTATAATGATAAACATGTGATAATTATAAGGATTTGTTTTGTCGATGATAAATCAATCCAAAGACTGGTTTATTGTTGGACGTGCTTTATCGTCAATGTTTGATTATTACAACAAGATACATCTAACAATTAATATTACTTGTCCAAAGACTTGATAGTGATGGTGCATTGAGTGTCTTGAGGTGGGTTAAACTTTTATTTGAATATTTATAATTATTTATTTTTTATAATGTGAGTATAATTAATTTATTTCTCTTGTTCTTAATTCAGCTACAATTGTTTCTGTATCTGCCAATTTAAATTCTGTTACGACCCTCAAAAGTATGTTTCTTACTTTGGTTTGTTTAGAAGTCAATTTAGCGTCAATACCTAGTAACATTTGGTGGTTAGACTCAGGTGCAACTACTAACATCAGTGTTTCTATGAAAGGTTGCATAAGCTACCGAAAACCAATTGATTCTGAAAGATGGATATTGAAAGTGATCCTAGCAAAGATCTCATTGATTTGATGAAGTCAAAGATAAAGTCAAGGGTCAACTCTGCAGCAGTCAAACAAGTCACTCAGAAGAATGGAGCTGAAGACTTAGTGTGTCTTAACAGAAAGCTTAGGTAAAACCACTTTACCCTTTCCACTGCATAAAGCTTCTTCACTCATTTTGCAAAATGCCTCAAAAATAGTTTTAAACAAATAAAAAACAAAAGCATTTTATCAAAGAACTTTCCTAACAAATTTATTAACTGATATAGCTTTGAAAGAAACAATTAAAAACACTTAGAATATTTTAAGAAGTGTTTTCACAGCATTTTAATTGATACAAAAACCTTTTAATTGATTAAAAACCCTTTATGACCGATTGGAATTCGAATATAACAGGTCAGAATGAAATATAATCGATCAGATTTTAAATATGGGTGATCAGATTGCTTTTAATCGATTAAAACACGTTTTAATCGATTAAAACCACTTTGGAAGTCAGGATGATCGATCAGAATGAAATTATGACCGATCAGAGTTGGTTATGATCGATCAGAATTGAATTATGACCGATCAGACTTATTTCAATCGATTAAAACGTATTTCAATCGATTAAAATGACTTGAAAATATATGTGCAGATTTTCAATCGATTAAAACTTCTTTGTATCAGTTAAAATAACTTGAAAAGTTTTATAAGAAAGTTTTAAAGTAA